ATGCATCTAGGGTTAACTTGAATAGATCGAGAGATTGACGAGTTACTCTGTAGATAGTGAGTTAGTAGACCGAGAGGTGAATTCTCTATCTTTGTTGCTTGATGATTCCCGAATACAAGTCATAATCGTTATTCTCGCATGCTTAGTAAATACCCATACACGCGAATACGATCCCGACACCCGTAGTCATCCTTGTTTGATAGGTTACTCGTTTCACTTGCTTTCTTATTTCGTTTCATATAGATTCCACACACTTCCATCATTACTTGCTTGCTTGCTTTGATCTATTTTCGATCTAGATTTGGATTTAGCAACCGGTCCTCGTGTTCGACCCCGTGTTACGACGATCCGTATCCTTGCGGTGAGTTGTGAATCGGGTTATAGATTTTATACTCGGTACACACGTATCAGTGATCGCCACAAGTTGGACGAAAAGAGTGTTCGTTGTGTTTTTCTCGGGTATCCGGCGGATCAAAAAGGGTTCAAATGTTATCATCCTCCAACACAACGAATGTATATTTCACGCAACGTTGTGTTTAAAGAAGAGGACTCATACTTTCCTGTTTCGGATTGGAAGAACACTGCCGACTTAATTCCTCCTGGTTCTGCATTCTTTCCTACACCTCATTTATTTTTTGAGTCCATTCGTGATTCGACTCCTCCTGTTGCACCTATCACTCGAAGCTCGTCTAGTGTTTCCTCTCTTGCAGGTTCTTCTTCTCCGCTCTTGGCCCAGCCTGCGCAAGTCTCGTCGGCTGACTTCGATGAGCCTCGCATCGATGTCCTTGCAGAATACCCTCTAGGTGGCTCTGTTGCAGACAACCCAACGGTTACGTCTTCAGAAAATGCCATCCTCGATTCTGATCCACAGTCCGACTCGACTCCGGCGGAATCTCCTGATGCCTCTCGTTCTGTCACTGCAACAGATGATGTTCCTCTTCTCCGCCGAAGCAGCCGTATTCGCCAGCCCACGTGGAAGCTTAGAGACAACCAACTTCAGAAAAATTCCAGCACCCATGCTGACGTCACCTCTACCATCAGCCCTCTATCTTCTGAGTTTGCTGATTTTTCTACACAATATCCAATTCAAAAATATTTATTTACTAATTCATCTTCACCACGTGTCTCTTTTTTGTCTTCTTTAGAACAACATCAGGAACCACGAGATTTTGAAGAAGCATATGCTCATCAGATTTGGCGTCAAGCCATGCATGAAGAACTTGCTGCCCTTGCCAAGAACAAGACTTGGATGATAACCACGCTTCCTCCCGGCAAGAAAGCCGTTGGTTGTAAGTGGATTTATAAAACCAAATACCGAAGCGACGGCGAAGTTGAACGATATAAAGCCCGACTTGTGGCTAAGGGATTCACTCAAACATATGGCGATGATTATACCGATACCTTTGCCCCGGTGGCTAATCTTAAGTCATTTCGCGTTATTGTTTCTTTGGCTACTAATTTCTCTTGGGATCTATGGCAGTTAGATGTTCGCAATGCATTTCTTCAAGGTGACCTAGAAGAGGACATCTACATGACACCACCACCGGGACTTTCACTAGGAGAGAACAAAGTTTGTCATTTACAAAAGGCCATCTACGGGTTAAAGCAATCCCCGAGGGCGTGGTACAACAAGCTTCGGATTGCCTTAACCTCTCATGGTTTCTCTCGATCCGAAGCGGACCACTCTTTATTTACTCTTCGTCGTGATTCACTTATTACTATTGTTCTAGTTTACGTTGACGATATTGTGCTTACAGGAAATGATAACCAAGGGATTGCCGACACTAAAACGCTTCTCAAACATGCATTTGACATTAAGGACCTAGGACCACTCACATACTTTCTTGGCATAGAGCTCTCTCGGACCACGACAGGGATCTATCTTTCTCAAACAAAATACATTCTCGATCTCCTCCGCGAGACTGGCAAGCTCGGTGCAAAACCCGCCGTCACTCCCATCGACCTCTCTTACAAGCAACAACGCGAGGGGGAATATTTCCCGGATATTACTCAATACCGTCGCGTTGTAGGTAAGTTAATCTACTTAACAATTACTAGACCTGATATATGTTTTTCGGTGAATCAGGTTAGCCAATGGATGCACGCACCGACACACCTACATTGGAACATGGTCAACCGAATCCTCAGATACTTGAAGGGGACGCCAACAAGAGGCTTGTGGATGAAGTGCAACAATGATATGGGAATTACAGCCTACTGCGATGCGGATTGGGCTGGAGACAAGACCGATCGAAAATCAACCACGGGCTATTGTACGTTTGTAGGCGGAAATTTAGTGACTTGGAAAAGCAAGAAGCAGAGTGTCGTAGCGAGATCGAGTGCCGAGGCGGAATACAGGCGATGGCGAACACTACGTGTGAATTAATTTGGCTTAAACATCTCTTGGATGATCTCGGAACTCCATGTACACTTCCGATGCCTCTTCATTGTGACAACCAAGCAGCCTTGCACATTGCGGCCAACTCGGTGTTCCACGAGAGGACAAAACACATAGAAGTTGATTGTCATCTTATTCGGGAAAAAATCACTCAAGGGTTTATAACTACCGAATACACGAGGAGTTCGGAACAACTAGCGGATATCTTTACCAAGGCTACAACATCGTATGTTCTCGACAAACTTCTCAGCAAGATTGGTCTCGTTGATAACCTACGACCAATCTTGAGGGGGAATGTTGGAATTGAGCCAACACTTGAAGCATATGGTCAAGACGAAGAGGAAACTGCACGTGCGTGTGAGGAAACCCAGCAAAATGACTTACTTGAGGAGCAAGCAACTACCAACAAAGGCAAGAGAACCCAAGGAAACATATCAACAGAAGATATTCTACACAATTAGCCGTTTGGTAATTGACGTCGAATCTCCATAAATTAGTTCCACTTAAATATACATTTACCTTATATTTGTCCTGTGTTTATTTTATTTCCATTTCTCTTGTATTTGACTTTCTCAATATATATGTAACTCTCGATGTAAATGAATAATATACAGAGCATTCCTTTCTCAAGTTCCTGTGTCTTCTTCGATCTAAACATGTGTTTTCAGTCAACGCACACAAAACCGCCGTCAATGGATCTGAGAATTTTCAACAATCTTCCAGAATCTCCACAAACTTGGGAACCCACGAACAGACCAACAAGACAGAACAACAACAAACGAAAGAGACAGAACAAGAACTGGATCAAACCGTACAAGCAATACTTGAGGCATAGCAATGGCTTCCTGTATTTCTCGTTAGCCGTCGTTGCTCACTCTCTCTTCGTCGTTGGTCAGATGGCTCAGGGTTACATCCTAGCCGTTGATCTGCAGAATCCTGACGTAAGCGTATCCATGATGATCTTTGTTTACTCTCTTGTCGGGTTCATCTTGGCCGTGATCTTGGTTTTGCGATCGGTTTTAATGGTGGTTCTTGGTCGTGGAGGATCCCTGGCTATCTTCCAGAAGCTTCTAGACTCCCTCTTCCGAGCTCCAATGTCGTTTTATGACTCCACCCCTCTTGGTCGAATACTTAGCCGGGTATACACACATATATATATATGTATGTATATGCTTGGATATATGCTATTCCGGTATGAAATACATGTTTTTCGCTGATGATATATACTCTGATGACGTCGCTTTCGCGGTTTTTTTCCTTTCCGACAGGTTTCTTCGGATCTAAGCATAGTGGACATAGAAGTGGCGTTCAAAACGACGCTCGGAGTGGGACAAACGATCAATGCCTACTCGGGTTTCTTGATCTTAGCTGTTCTCGCATGGCATGTTCTTCTTGTCATCGTCCCCATTATCTACCTCTGTCTCCTCTTACAGGTGCTTTCCACAGTTTCAGTTTCCTTGTGTCCTAAAACGTTTTCAATGCTAAAAATGCTTTCGATAAATATTGCAGAATTACTACTACGCCTCTGCGAAAGAGCTGATGAGAATAGCCGGAACAACCAAATCAACGGTGGCTAGTTACCTCGCGGAATCAATCTCGGGTGTAATGACGATCAGAGCGTTCGGACAAGAGAATAGATTCTTTCAGAAACATCTAGATCTCGTCGATGCAAATGCACGGCCCGATTTTCACAATTTTTCCGCCAACGAGTGGTTGATCCAACGGCTTGAATTGCTCTGCACCATCGTCCTCTGTTCCTCCGCTCTCGCCATGACCTTGCTTTCATTCCCGGCCTCTTCCTCCGGTATGCAAAACAAGATCGAATTTATCAAATCGATATCAACATTTTCACTTTCATGTATATTTATCCTCTACAGGTATAATCGGAATGGCGATGTCCTACGGCCCCTCCTTGAACGTTTTCTTGGTTTCGTCGGTCCAATTGCAATGTTTGTGATCATTTCCGTTGAAAAGGATCGAGCAATACATGAATATACCGAGCGAGTCACCGGAAATTATCCAAACCAACCGGCCTAACCGGAATTGGCCTTCAAAGGGCAAGATCGAGATCTCCAACTTGAAGGTCAGTACCTGAACTTAAACCTTCTCGATTCAATGTTTCTTGAATCGGCTGAACCAGATGGCGACCGGTTTAATCGTTCTGATCTTGGTTTAGATTCGGTACCGACCCAATGCTCCGTTGGTTCTCCGAGGGATAAGCTGTGTATTCCAAGGAGGTCACAAAATCGGCATAGTTGGTCGAACCGGAAGCGGTAAATCGACTCTGATTTCTGCTCTTTTCCGAATCGTCGAACCGACCAATGGAAAAATATACATCGATGATGTGGATATTTCCGCGATCGGACTTCACGACCTGCGTTCGCGTCTGGGAATCATTCCTCAGGACCCAACGCTCTTCAGCGGTACGGTTCGGTACAATCTCGACCCGTTGTCAGAGCATACCGACCAAGAAATCTGGGAGGTAAACCGGAATTATTCCACCGCAACAATTTTGAAGGGTTAAAAATTGGAATTTTTTTACATTACCGATTTAGTGGTTTCTTTTCTAACAAGGTTCTTGAGAAATGCCAACTAAAGGAAGCTGTGGAAAGCAAAGGGCAGGGTTTGGATTGCTTGGGTAAGAAACAAGTAACCGGGCTTTCCAAACCGGGTTTGGTAATTTCTTGGTATATCGATTTAAACCGACAAATACCGATGATTTTCCGGTTAAACAGTGGTACAAGATGGATCAAATTGGAGCATGGGACAGAGACAATTGTTCTGTTTTGGAAGAGCGTTGCTGAAGAGAAGCAAGATTCTTGTTCTAGACGAAGCCACGGCTTCGATGGACAATACCACGGATTCGATTTTGCAGAGGATGATCCGTACGGAGTTTGCAAACTGTACGGTCGTGACGGTGGCTCACAGAATACCGACGGTTATGGACTGCGATATGGTGCTCTCTATCAGCGACGGTAAGTTAAAAACTATTCTGAATCAAACCGAATTGGTTTTCTGGTTATCGGTTAAACCGGGTTAACGTGGGTATACTTGGTTAACAGGGAAAATGGTGGAATACGATGAGCCGCTGAAGCTTGTACAGAAAGAGGGATCTTTGTTTGGGCAACTTGCGCGTGAATACTGGGCTCATGGTGCAGATGCAATTTCCGGTTAAATCCGGTTTACATTTTTTTTCCTAATAAGCCACCACATTTATAAATAGTTTTTTTTTTTTTTTTGTTTCTGCTCAAATCACATTTATATTTAATGGGGTGCTGAAAAATTAGAAGAAAAAAACCGTGAGATCTGTAAGAAGAACAAGGGAAGTGGGCTGATTATTAACATGAAAGAAAGGCTTATGTCTGTACTAATTGGCCCATTTGGATTTTTCGTATTTAACCCAAATTGGTCCACTCGGTTAAATCCTAATCTTGGTTATCTTATAATTTGAGTATCATTAATTAATTTATTAATTAAATTAAAGAGAGAAAACAGGCGAGACTATTTGGTCTGACCATTCAACATCTTCAAAGGCTAACAAAAACCGCTTCAATGATCATTGAGAGATGCAAAATAAGACCAAAATCAGAAGGTAGTGTCCAAATTCGACATGGGCAGGCACCCCATTTGATACAGGGAAAAACATTATAATAAGAGAAAGAAATGTCAACTATGCGCAGCCCGATTAATATCATTTCTTTATCCGTCAGCTAATAAATTGATTGGGTAATTAATAAATAAAACAGATTAAAGTTTTGTATAGTATGAGTCTGTCTCCTTGCAATATATAAAGAAATAATCCGAATATATCTGATATGGGAAAACGGCGTCGTATAGGAAATTGGAACGTCGTCTACCTCGCCACCAACTCACCTCAATTCGACATCAGTCTATTTGCTCACATTTTGTCCCTTCGCTCCATCGACGGGTCCGTCACTTTCATCGTATAAATATCTCCGCCAAACATCGTTCTTCTTCTCTCTCGTTCATCACCATCTTCCTCTCTCTCTCTCTAGAAACCCTACCTCCCTCTCTCCCATGGAATCCGCCACACTCTCCCGCATCGGCCTCGCCGGCCTTGCCGTCATGGGGCAGAACCTCGCCCTCAACATCGCCGAGAAGGGCTTCCCTATCTCCGTCTATAACCGAACCACCTCCAAAGTCGACGAGACTCTAGATCGCGCCGCCGAGGAAGGGAAACTCCCCGTCTCCGGCCAATACTCGCCTCGCGATTTTGTCCTCTCGATTCAACGCCCCAGATCCGTCGTCATCCTCGTCAAGGCCGGTGCTCCCGTCGACCAGACTATCGCCGCTCTCTCCGAGCACATGGAGCCCGGCGATTGCATCATCGATGGCGGAAATGAGTGGTATCAGAACACCGAGCGGCGGATTCAGGAGGCGGAGCAGAAGGGTTTGCTGTATTTGGGTATGGGGGTCTCTGGCGGCGAAGAAGGCGCTCGTCATGGTCCCTCGCTCATGCCTGGTGGATCTTTCCAGGCGTACAACAACATCAAGGATATTCTCGGGAAAGTCGCGGCTCAGGTTGAGGATGGTCCCTGTGTCACCTACATCGGAGAAGGTGGATCTGGTAATTTCGTGAAAATGGTCCATAACGGGATCGAGTATGGTGATATGCAGCTGATCTCTGAGGCTTACGACGTGTTGAAGAACGTCGGAGGGCTGAGCAACGACGAGCTCGCGGAGACCTTTACCGATTGGAACCGATGTGAGCTCGAGAGCTTTCTGATTGAAATTACTTCGGATATCTTTAGGGTAAAGGATGAACATGGAGATGGAGAGTTAGTGGATAAGATATTGGATAAGACCGGCATGAAAGGCACAGGGAAATGGACCGTTCAGCAAGCGGCCGAGCTCTCTGTGGCGGCGCCGACAATTGCTGCGTCGTTGGATTGCCGCTACTTGAGTGGATTGAAGGAGGAGAGGGAAAATGCAGCCAAAGTGTTGAACGAGGCTGGATTGAAAGAGGAAATCGGTTCAGCCTCTCGTGGAATTGACAAGAAGAGATTGATCGATGATGTGAGGCAAGCCCTGTATGCTTCGAAAATCTGCAGCTACGCTCAAGGCATGAACTTGCTGAGGGCTAAGAGCTTAGAGAAAGGCTGGAACTTGAACTTGGGAGAATTGGCTCGGATCTGGAAAGGCGGGTGTATCATCAGGGCAGTGTTCTTGGACAGGATCAAGAAAGCGTACCAGAGAAACCCGAACCTGGCAAGCCTTGTTGTGGATCCAGAATTCGCAAAAGAGATGGTTCAGAGGCAAGCTGCTTGGAGGAGAGTGGTGGGTTTGGCCATATCCGCGGGAATAAGCACGCCCGGCATGTGTGCGAGCCTTGCGTATTTCGATACGTACAGGCGTGCCCGATTGCCGGCGAATCTTGTTCAGGCGCAGAGAGATCTGTTTGGAGCTCATACGTATGAGAGGATCGATCTTCCAGGTTCGTACCACACTGAATGGACTAAGCTTGCCAGGAAGAGCAATGCGTCGTCCCCATGAGCCAACTTTCTTTTCCACCTCTCGTGCTTCTTGTCTGAATCTTCATGTTCCTTCGTTTCGTCCTAAAAATTTTCATGCTTTTAGGCATAGGAAAAACCCGAACCCAATATTGTTTCAAGATTACTTTGTTCGGTTAATAAGAAATGCCATGGCCTTTCTGCTATCTTTGTGAGTTTTGATGTTTCAAGAGTGTGTTGTTGCGTCTGTTCAAACATTCAACAACTGGGCAATTGGTTTTTTTTTTTTAAAAAAAAAGAAATTTCTCATCCAAATTTTGAAACATTTTAAATAAATTTGATTTACAAAATATTTGTCAACAATATACGTTTTAAGCCCAGGCATGAAAGTAGAGTTTGGGCCCAAAAATCAGGAACTACTCACTCTCGGATCTACCGTTTTTGTGGCCTACCAATATTGCAAAATTACAAAGTTGACCCATTATTTACAATTATTGGGCTGAAAAGCGAAACTGTAAGCCTGATATGTATTTAACTTGTAGCCCACAACCCTATACACCTTCAGATTCGGCCCAATATTAACACCAAAACTATAAGCCCAATATACAATTAAAATTGCTGGTCCGATGTGTATTAATGCCAGCCTTTTATAATACGGTTGGTTATTATTTCAGTATTTGTCATTAAATGAAAGTATTTTAATAGCTGTTAGAGATTCATCCATATTTTGTCATAGTGGTGTGTATAGATTTATTTATTTTTAAAGTTGATTTATTAGATTATTGCTGCAATAATTGCAAACAAACAAAGAACCGGAGAGGATACGGTCCGGGTGGTTACGGATTAGACAAATGAAATAATATAAAGTTTTGATTGGACATAAGGGAAATGAAATATTGGTTTCATGTGACATATATATATATATATATACACGTCACTAGAAAAACGGAGATCTCGTAAGAATCCCCATCTAACATTGCATACGTTATTATCTCCGTAGATAAACTGAAAATACAAAAGAACAACATCGGTAATTATAATTATAACTAAGATTATAACAATGTAAAAAAATCAAGAAATTTTATTCTAATTAACACTGCTATAAAATTGGAAAAAAAATACATCATAAATGTTAAACTATTTATGAAACAAATCACCAGAATCTGTGAATTTTTATTTAAAACGATAATTATTCAGCTTAAGTTGATTTTTAAAAAAAAAATTAAAACTATTGTATTTTTTATATAAATTTTGTTATATTTTTAAGGTGTATTTAAATAATTTTTTATTAGTTTGCAGTAGTCAGATATACATTGTAAATCCATCGAACAAAAGAGGTACATAATCTTTTCTTTATCTTTTCTTTTTTGTAATTTTCTCTCTTAAATATGCCATCAAAAAATCATTGGCTCTTTAATGCCTCCCCCACAATATCTTGTCTCTTCACCTCTTTATTTTTTTTTTCCTACTTTGAATCCTAAATTGCGTCTTTAAATTGGCGAATATTTTTACAAAACTTAAAGACTAATCCATAATCTATTCGTTAAATTGTACCAAAAACATTTGGTGAATATTTTTTATAATATACTCCTGGATGGAATCTATTATAGGGGAGACAAATATAAATATCCAGATATTTTTACCATCCATAATATAATATATCAAATATCTAATCATATAGTGTTCCAAATATCTATAGATACCATAATTAGATTCAAGATGAATATGAGTTATATATCTCGAGAATTCATTCCCTAAATAAATAATATATATGAATGTTTAGTTTTTTCTTTTGTGTTACCATGGTATTGGCAGGTATTATTAATCCTCTATACCCTAATATTTATATTTTTGGACCTTCTTCATATATTTAATAATTTGTTAAACTACTTTTGCAGAGAGTACTGTAATTACATTGTTATATATATATATTTTTTTTTTTTTGCCGAAGGGCTACAATTACAAACAATTATTATTTATTGGGTATGTGGGCAGGAGTATTTTAATTAAGTTATGATAAAACATTTGATGATGATAAACATGTTACCACTTGATAGTTGGTGTAAATTATTATTAAAAGTTCCACTTTTTGGGGACATGATTCGATATTGTATGGAGGATTTGTTCGGTGTTTGTTCTTGTGGAAGTGCAAAGGAACATGAGTTGAGTTCATTTGTATCCAATCCGATTAATACTTACGTTTATTTTAATATACGTGCCTAAAGCTTTCTCCATTTTTTGCTTTTTTTTTTTCAGAATTGTATTCATTTATTTTTAGGAATATAAATTATTTTGTGACAATACATATTACTTTTATAAGCTTAAAATTTTATATGTGTGTGCTTTGTAAAATATATATATATATGTGTGTGTGGGTGTGTGACAGATCTAGAAAATCATTTTAGAAAGGGCACGTATATTAAATAAAAATTATAAATTAATTTACAAAAAAATAATTATTATAATAAATAACTTATATTCTACAAACATATTAAACATTCATTTGTGTTATATTTGATACGTATGTGTTGTATTTTCAAATCAATTTGTAGTCGTATCATATTAGAATTCAATAGTATTACATTTATTTTTTAATAAAAAGATCATAGAAACAAGTTTTTTTTGTTGTGATAATTAAGAGCTGCATAATTTTGATATACTCGTCGTTCAATCGACTGTTTTCACCCTAAATAACGATTTTCAATTTTCAATTTTTGCTTATTAATTAATTCAATTGTTATTTAATTTATAGCTCATATACAACAATTGTTTAATACGTTTTGATACGATTTATATTAATCAATGCACTAGCATCTGTACATTTATTCTACATCTTATACTTATGTCAATGAAAAGCCGAAACATTTGAAACCTTTACACGCAAATTGCTGCTTTGAAAACGTTTTAAAAAAAATGAAAGTTTTAAATTAAATTAAATTGTTTTAGGCTGCATGTTCTCGACACAAAGAGTACTTTGGAACATGGAAGTACAATACTTATTAATAAAATATTACTGTAATTAAGATAAGCTTGCATCCAAACTAGATGGTTATCTCATACTTTATGTCATGTCGAAATCCCTTTTAATTATATAAATATAAGTATTTATATACCCATTTAGTAAATTAATATACATATATATACACGATCTGTAATCCCAAGGCGTATACATATATATACGTAACGTATATCTCTGTGTGTGTATATGTCTAGCGAATAATTGGAAAGGCTATGAAGAAAAGGCTATGTATGACAAGATAGCATAGGTGTTTCTCTTGAATCCTCTTATTATGTAAGCGATGTGGATAATATCGAAATGTATTATATAAACAGTGTTTATATCCACCTCGGAATAAATTAAAAATTTATCCAAATTTCATAATGTTAATTCCGTGTAAAAAGAACTACTAATGCCCGAATTTTAAGCTTTTCAAATGATTTGGAAAAAGTTGGGAATATTGATTGAGTAAATGCTTGTAGCGTGAACAACTTTAAAAGACATGATATGAAAGTAACTAGAGAAGCATATAAGAATATGCATAATTACCTAAGATAAAAGATCCTAATTATGTTAACACCTTAACATCTTGAAAAATTTTATACTCATCCAATATAATATAAATTAATATCTATATATATATATATTAAATTTCAAATTCTAATATAGAGATTGATATTGGAACACATACAGACATGATAAAACGGATATGTTCTTTTCAATAGTATGCACCAAGTTCTTATGTTCTTATCATTTCATATTTAATAATTCATAAAATTATGATAAAATTTATGTATATTTCTGATGTAATACGTTTTTCGATATTTTCAAATTATATACGAGTAACAACTGGTTTTTAAATACGAGAAAAAGGTCAATATGAAGAAGTCCATCATCATCGTTGCGAGGAAAATCAACGTCATAAGGGCTCAAACTTTGATTTATCAAAGAGTTTTATATTTGAATCTTATTAAGAATTATCGTCCAATCTCTTCATTATCAAAATTACTATTTAAACCATTTATTATATATGTTCATGTTATCTGATATACACACACACACACACATACGTCATGTAATAATAGAACATCAGTATGAACATACATACATACATACATACATACATACATACATACATACATACATACATACATACATACATACATACATACATATATTCGCATATATATACATTTATATGTAGTACGTATACCAATAAGCTTGGTTCCCATCTCAAACACTTTAAGAATCAACAGCCTACTGCTGCTGGTTTTGTTTGTTATGTCCATTAACATAGTTTTTCCACAGAGAATATCCACGTGTACTAATGCATTCTTACAATGTCACAAGTTCAAGTTCATATCCATTTTTCGTTTAATTTATTTATTTTTATATAATAAAATTCGCTAAAAGATACATCCTGGGGACAAGGCCCTGGCCGGCTCGATTGTAAAGCAGGGGGATGTGATGATATAAAACATATATTTAACTTTTAAAAGGAAATTTTAATTTTTTGAAATAAGCATATTCAATGAGAAGACACCAAACTTTGCCTAATGTAAACGGGTTGGTAGAAATTTTCTCAATAAATATAGTTTATACATATATATATATATGTATATATATGCGTATATATTCGGAACAATGAATGCAGGTGAATGGAAAGTTCCATTTTCTCTATCTACCGAATTCGCATGAATAAACGTGTTTTTTGGCTCGCTCTTTTGATTTGCCTAAATATATTTGTTTTAAATGCATAATGAGCTCATAGCTTGCACATATTATATACCCTCTTGGTTATTTATCATTCTAATAGTTATGAAACATCTAAATATACTCATGAACATCATGTGATTTAAAAAATAGGACAAAGTTCTTTTCCTCCACTTGGGATAGATATTTACATGAATTTCCGATTTTTATAGATACCTATTTGTACCGAAAGTTTGGTGAATTTTCGTATTATAAAAAAAAATTGCTAAACATCTTCATCTTAGAGAAAATCATGATTCTAATAGTTTAATAATAAGTGATATTTATAGTGGAAATTTCTAAGTACGGATCCAATGAATACATCCGGATGCCATTCTAAATTTATTAAGAATGAAAAACATCAAATGAAAACGTGGAAAAAAATATATTTAACCACCCACTTATTCGATACATCTTTTGTTCTTAGTGCAAGGGAAAAAAAAGAGAAGTGCATAA